GAAAGAAAGAAAGAGAAATAAAAGAAGGAAGAAGAAAGAAAGAGATAAAGCAAGCAAGCAAAGAAAGAAAGACACGAAATTAAGTGTCATATTACTATTTATCCCTTCAAAATAAAAATCTGATTACATCATTTTCCTACTTCAAAACTTCCGGTGTTTCCCATTACACTTTAAAAAAAAAAAAAATCTTTTATTCAATGTTATAATATAGGTAGTATTAAAAAGTGTGCTATAATCTCTCTCTCTCTTTTTTTTTTGAGACTGAGTCTTACTCTGTTGCCCAGGCTGGAGCGCAGCAGTGTGATCTCGGCCCACTGCAACTTCCACCTCCCAGGTTCAAGCAGTTCTTGTGTGTCAGCCTCCCGAGTGGCTGGGATTACAGGCATGCACCACCAGGCCTAGCTAATTTTTGTATTTTTAGTAGAGACAGGGTTTCACCATGTTGGTCAGGCTGGTCTTGAACTCCTGACCTCAGGTGATCCACCCGCCTCGGCCTCCCAAAGTGCTGGGATTAGAGGCGTGAGCCACCACCCTTGGCCCTCATTACACTTCGAATGAATTCCAAAGCCCTAGCTGTGGTCTGCCTCGTTGGCCCTGGCCGCTTTCTGGGCATCCTCTGTTTCTGCCCTCCCTTGTCTTACTGAGCTCTGGCTGCAGTGTTCCGCAGAGACACCACGTGTGCTCTGGCCACAGGGCCTTTGCACATGCCATTCTCTGCACTGAACATGGGGCACGGATCTCTCCTCCTTCTTGCTGTGTTCTTCACCCACCTCACAAAGGCCACCTGACCATCTTCTGTTTTACCCCAGGAATGACAATGAGCTTGAGAGGATGGCTTCTTTACCCTTGTGCCCTGAGCTGTGAGCCCAGAGCTGAGCCAACTGCTCCCATTATGCTCCTGTTCAGGAAAGGCTCGCCTATGGAAGTGGCTGCACCATGGCTCTAGAAAGAGTGTGTCCAGTAGGAAGGAAGGGCTGCCCTCTGGGTGGAATCATGGTGGTCTCCAGAAATCTCCTCCACTGGATTCCTGGGCTGGAGGAGCCACGTGCTCCCTGCAGCCACCTGGGGCCACTGGGAGATGCTGGTCTGAGGCAGGAGTGCAGTTGCAAATGCAGAAAGCGAGGCTGGGTGTCTGGGATGAGGCAGGCGGGAACTGGGCTCGGCACCAAGCTAGCTCTTGGGACGTTTTATTTACCAGGGTCACTCACATTTATGTTGTGCTTCAAAAGTTCCTGAAAGTTCTTGGGCATGGTGGCTCATGCCTGTAATCCCAGCACTTCAGGAGGCCAAGACAGGAGAATTGCTTGAGCCCAGGAGTTCAAGACCACCTTGGGTAACATAATGAGACCTTGTCTCTACGATAATGAAAATAAAAATAATTTAAATAAACATTCCCGAAAATTCCCATGGATCAGCAACGCCATGAGGGGGGATCTCTGATCCCCAAGTTACAGGTAGAGAAACTGGGGCCCAGCTTTCATTAGCAACAGAGCCAGGATTTGAACTCAGGTCTCAGACTCTAAGCTGGTCATCTTCCCACCATTCTATGAGTCCTCCCTTTGCGTTGAAGGAGGAGGACCCAGGCAATACTCCCATATGACTAATGGATCCAGAAAAACCATTACTTTCAGCACTTACAAAAATAACTTTGAGGACAAACAGCTTGGGTTTCTGAAGCACCCTCAGCCCTGAGCAATCCTAGCACTTTAGGAGCACCGAGCAAGCTGTCATTTTCCCTGCACTTCTCGAAGACCTGGAAGCACAATTGTTCCAACAGTCACAGTTTACAGGGTGTTCACCGGCACTCAGTGTGGTTCTCATGGAGGAATGGCGGGTCTGGCGCTTAGCCTGGGAGAGTCTGCTTTCTGGAAAGGCAAATATGAGCCAGGAAGCTGCTGGTTGGACTGAATCATGCAATGTGAATTTCCTGGGGCCAGGCACGGTGGCTCACACTCATAATCCCAGTACTTTGGGAGGCTGAGGCAGTACGACTGCTTGAGCCCAGGAGTTTGAGACCAGTCTGGGCAACATAGCAACACCCTGTCTCTACAAAAAATAAACAATTAGCTGGGCATGGTGCTGCACACCTGTGGTCCCAGCTACTCCGGAGGCTGGGGTGGATCACTTGAGCACTGGAGGCGGAGGTTGCAGTGAGCTGAGACTGTACCACTGCACTCCAGCCTGGGTGACAGAGCGAGACCCTGCCACAAACAGACAAACAAACAAACAAACGAACAGTTTCCTGAGGCGCTACTGTGGCAGACACCCCTCCTGCAGGTCAGGGTTGGGCGGGAGGCAGGTGGTCCCTGTTACTGCCGTGTGAGTGCCTCCAGGTGTGCATTCTGGGAGTGGGTCCCACCTGGGGCAGCAAGGAGGGGGAGTCTAGGGGAACAGCAGGTATTTCCCAGATGCGGAGGCTCAAGCAGGATGAGAGAGAGGTGGGGAGGCCAGGGCAGGTGGAACAACAGGAAGTGAACAAGGGCCTTTTTTTTTTTTTTGAGATAGGATCTCACTCTGTCTCCCTCACTGGAGTACAATGGTGTGATCACAGCTCACTGCTGCCTCAGCCTCCTGTGCTCCAGCAATCCTCCTGCCTCAGCCTTCCGAGTAGCTGGGACCACAGGTGCACACCACCACACCTGGCTAATTTTTGTATTTTTCGTAAAGACAGGATCTTGCTATGTTGCCCAAGCTGGTCTGGAACTCCTGGGCTCAAGGAATCCTCCCCACCTCAGCCTCACAAAGTGCTGGGATTATAGGTGTGAGCCACCATGCCTGGCCCTGAATTTAGTTTAAAAACTAAAACTAAGGGACCGGGCATGGTGGGTCACTCCTGTAACCCCAGCACTTTGGGAGGCTGAGGTGGGAGGATCACCTAAGTTCAGGAGTTTGAGACCAGACTGGTCAACATGGTGAAGCCCCATCTCCTCTAAAATTACAAAAATCAGCTGGGCGTGGTAGCGCATGCCTGTAATCCCAGCTAATCGCGAGGCTGAGGCAGGAGAATTGCTTGAACCCGGGAGGTGGAGGCCGCAGTAAGCCGAGATCCCGCCACTGTACTCCAGCCTGGGCGACAGAGAGAGACCCTGACTCAAAAAACAAAAAACAAAAAACTAAAACTAAAAGCAAACCCAAGAAGAAACAGAAGGCCTTCCAGTGCTATTACTTTTGGGCAAACGTTCACTTTAGAAACTACATTGCTGAGGCCAATTTTGTTTTCTACAAACCTCCTAGAAGCTGGAGGGCTCGCGTGGGCCCCCAGCCACAACGGGGCATCCTCTCCTAGGGACAGCAGAAAGAATCGTGTTCTTTAAACAGCCACAAAACCACGTTGTCAGTGGGAAGGAAGTCACTGAGCAACGGCTTCTGGGGGCCAGACGCTGGGCAGACCCTAGCGGGACCTGGGATCTTGATGCTCCAGCATTGGTTCCTGCAAATTCATGTTCCTCAATAAACGTTTTGAGAAACAAAACATCCCTTAGAAACAGCCGTTAGCTGTTCCATGGTGCCGGCAGTGGGTGTTCCCCTCACTAGTGCCAGAAATTCTCTGAAAGACCTTCTTTGTTGGTGCCATTTTGTAAACAAAAACAAAAAAACCCCCAAAACCTAAAGCAAGGAAAGTTCTTGAACAGATTGGAGGGGCCGAGCAGAACCGGCAGCCTGGACAGAGGAGGTGCTGCCCTCCAGTGGCCTCTGTGAGGACAGCAGGGGCTGTGCCCAGGAGATCTAGGAGATCCATCCACTCCACCCCCTCCCATTTTTCATATTGGTAAACTGAGGCACAGAGGATCTATAGAGCTCTCCAGGTAAGTTAATAGCATATCAAGGACAAAGGGCAGATTGCTTGTCCCTGGACTGTTCCAGTGGGATGTGGGGGGCTCTGGACATGGGGATGTTGGTCCCTGTTGCCTCTATGCACTGCTTAAGGAATTTCCAAGCACCCTCACACCTGGATGATGGGGGTCCTCCACCCCACCCACAGCTGAAGGGACGGTGGGCCAGCGGTCACTCAGGTGCCCCCTCTCAGGCCTCAGTAAGGGACATCTGAATGCCAAGGCTGTGCAGAGGGGACCACGATTGGCACCTGGCCACCCTAAAACTTACACAAGTGCACGCTGGGGAGCAGGCGCTCAGCCCTTCCCAGGAGCGCCGCTGTCCGGAGAGAAGAATGCAGGGCTGGAGAGAAGCAGAAGAGGGCCTCTGGGCTTCAGAGGGGATCGGCGTCGCGGGGCTGGTGGACGATGACCTGCTGACGACCACTGGACCGGGCTGTACGTCCTGCCCTTGACTTCCACAGAAATTCCCTGCAGCCCTTGCTCACTTTTCTGCTTTTCCACAAATACACAGTTCCCAACTAAGACAGCACGCCTTTGATTTTGTCGGAGCCTCAGGGACAGGCTTTGCTATCTCCACGTCCTGACAAGGACACTGGGACAAGACGGTGTGCTCGGATACAGCCTCTCAGCGGGGTGCTGGGACCCAGCTCCAATTCCTGCTCTCCCATCGGCCCCTCGGCGCTCTGGAGCTGGACTATGGGACACATCAGCAAGAGGCGGAGGGTGGGGTGCATTTTCCAGGTAGCTCCAGGCAGTCTCAGCTCCACCAAGGCAGGCCCCAGGGCTGAGTTTGAGGGTATCAGGACCCCAGCATCTTCCAAACATGGGGCAAATGCTCCCGCAGTCTCTGTGCCAGAGCTTCCCACTGTCCCCTGACGGCATATTGGGCTTCTGTGGGTGGAGGCTGAGAGAGGCCCGGGATGGCACCGGGCTCAGGGGTGCTGCTCACGCGTTGGCCTGTCTTTGAGAGGGGCCCTGAGAGACGCCTGCTTGTGTACGTCTTAGAGGCAAAGATCCAGATGGTTGGGCACGCTGGCTCACGCCTGTAATCCTTGGGGGGCCAAGGCAAGTGGATCGCCTGAGCTCAGGAGTTCGAGATCAGCCTGGCCAACATGGTGAAACCGTCTCTACTAAAATACAAAAATTAGCCGGGCGTGGTGGCAGGTGCCTATAATCCCAGCTACTCAGGAGGCTGAGGCAGGAGAATCACTTTAACCTTGGAGGCTGAGGTTGCAGTGAGCTGAGATCCCACCACTACACTCCAGCCTGGGTGACAGAATGAGACTCTGTCTTTAAAAACAAAATCCTTTATGGCCTCTAAGCTTCTCTTTGAAAATAAAAACACTACAGGGAAAGTTAATTGATGAAGCATTATCACTTAATTAAATCTTAGTGTGAATTAAACAACGGATAGCAAGCAATTTTATTGTGATGCCTTTGTTTTGGGTTTAGGATGGTGGATGTGATAAGGAGGAAAGGAGTATTAGAGGCAGCTGACTGAGGGAGGCCTGAGGTTGTTGGCTGAGTCACTGTTTCATCTGGGGTAGGCCGGGACCTCAATGCGAAACCAAGTGTTTGCAGAGCCCAGTGGGCCATGTGGCTGCATCTGAGAACTGCTGGGAGCTGCGGATTTGCTGGGGCATCAGCCCAGCTGTCCCCAGGAGGATGGTGGGGGCGGAGGAGGGACACAGAGGAGTGTCCCTCCATGTAGCAATGACACGGGACATCAAGGTCAGCCAGCTCAGGGACTGTGCTCCTTGGGGAGAGGAAGGGCTGGCTCTGGGACCTCTGGGCTCCCTGGGGAGAGGCAGGGCTGGCTCTGCGACCTCTGGGAGCCTGCGTGCAATGGTCAACCTGTGGGGCCCCCCATCACAGGAGGACGGAGCCATACCAGGGATTCCTAAGTACCAGCAAGGGTCTCCAGGGCTCTGTAGGCAATTATTTTTTTCTTTTTGTCTGAGACAGAGTTTGGCTCTGTCACCCAGGATGGGGTACGATGGCACGATCTCGGCTCATTGCAACCTCCACCTCACAGGCTCAATCACTTCAACCTCCAGAGTAGCTGGGACTACAGGCACAGCCCAGGCACCATGCCCAGCTAATTTTTGTATTTTTTGTCGAGACAGGGTTTCACCATGTTGCCCAGGCTGGTCTCGAACTCCTGACCTCAAGTGATCCTCCTGCCTTGGCCTCCCAAAGTGTTGCAATGACAGGCGTAAGCCACGATGCCCAGCCTGTAGGTACTATTAATAAAATACAAATAGAATGTAAAACCTCAAATCATGGATATAAAAATTAAGCAAAGTTAATCAATACAGCCAAAGAAAAGAAAAATTAAAAAATAGCAAGAACATGTAAGAACAAAGCATAAAATAAGATGAAGAAGAAAAAACATCAATTGTAAGACATAAAAATGGATTAAACTCTGCTATTCAAGGGCAAATATTCTCAGATGGAATCAAAGAATAAAAAACTAGGGCATAGCTAAAACAAGCTGGGTGTGGTGGCTCATGCCTGTAATCCCAGCACTTTAGGAGGCTGAGGCAGGAGGATCTGTTGAGGCCAGGAGTTTAAGACCAGCCTGGGCAACATAGTGAGACCCTATCCCTACAAAAAATACAACAATTAGGTAGGGATGGTAGTGTGCGCCTGTAATCCCAGCTACTCAGGAGGCTGAGGCAGGAGGATCACTTGAGTGCAGGAGTTGGAGGCTGCAGTGAGTCATGACTGCACCACTCCCCTCCAGCCTGGGTGGCAGAGTGAGACCCAGTCTCCAAAACAACTAGTACAATACAAAGTGAAAATAAAAAATATAAAACAACAGACAGGTTGATTTAAATGCAACTGTCATCCAGGCTGAAGTGCAGTGGCACGATCTCAGCTCACCGCAACCTCCACCTCCTGAGTTCAACCAATTCTCCTGCCTCAGCCTCCTGAGTAGCTGGAACTACAGGTGCATGCTACCACGTCTGGCTAATTTTTGTATTTTTGGTAGAGAAGGAGTTTCACCATGTTGGCCATGCTGGTCTCAAACTCCTGACCTCAAGTGATCCACCCGCTTCAGCCTCCCAAGGTGCTGGGATTACAGGCAAGAGCCCCTGTGCCCAGCCAACATCAACATTAATGCAGAACCCAAGGCTAAGAGTAGTAAAGATAGGTTGAAAGAGCAGAAGTAGCACACCTTTGGAATGTGGAGGTTTGATCAAGTTGACATTTCAATGGCACTAAGGATGGCAAGAACACCCAAATCCTAACCTGGAACACCCTTTTCTCCCAGATCTCTGTGAGGGACAGCAGCTGCTCTCCATCCTCCCCAGTTCTCAGTCCGTGTGCTTTGAGTGGGATGTGTCAGAGTGCTACAACCTGTTAGCTACAAGGATTGTTCTCAGGGATAGATGTGATCAAGGAGCCCTATCAGGTCCCATCCCAGAATGTGGGAGGACTCAACCACAACATGCACAAAACTAAATGCGTGGTTTCCCCAAAAAGCCTGGTACTTTCCCTGTGACCCCAGATTCAGTAAGTGGTACCACCATCCATCCAATGAAGGAAGTAAAAACCAGCAAATATTTGTAACCTCTCCCTCCCCATCACCCACTCTCCAGTCCATTACTGAGCTCCATTGATTTCACCTCCTAAACGTCTCTCAATTGTAGTCTTAACAATCTCCAGCAATCTCCATTTTTCACTGATCTCTCTGTCATCAACCCACCAGCATCTCTTCCCTGGTCTATGGAAGTGGCCCGCTAACTCATCTCCTTACTTCCACACTTGCTTCTCTCTACATTCTCTACATTTGTCTATTCCAGCCCATTAACCAAGCTGGGGTCACAGTCATCTTTTTTTTTTTTTTTTTTTTGAGACAGGTCTTGCTCTGTTGCCCAGGCTAACGTGCAGTGGCGTGAACTGCACTCAACCTCCTGGGCTCAGGCAATCCTCCCACCTTAGAC